ACAGCTTGTATGGTCCCACCTTTTCCTTGAATTGCTGCTGAAACCACTGGGCTATTGGAGAGAGCCTCAACCACGTGAACCAATCATAGACCCACAGCTGCTAAACAAGTAGCACTGCCCTCACATTTCTTGGGTTAAACGCAGAGACTCCCTTTGGTGTACTGACCCTCAGGTACTGCTGCACAGGTCCTGTTAAAATAAAGACTTGGTCTGGTGGCCCTGTAAATCTGCTTGTGATTTATTTCCTGGGGAGTTTGGGTTTGTAGGGTCCTGTAAATGTATTCAGGAGTTTTATACTGAGTACTGTGGAGAAGATTGATTACTTTAAAAGGAAGAGCAATGAATGGTAGTGGCTGTTAGCCCTGAAGAGTTATAGCCCTTAAGCCAATGAGGATCAGCAACACAGAGTATCAACCAGCAGAGCTGACCAACAGCATCTGGCACAACTGGCGCTGAACAGCAATAGGTGACAGAGGCAGAGACCAGCAGTTGATAGTATCAATCGACAGCACCCAACATTAACTAGAGCTAACCTGTGGCATCAGGGCTGTTTGCAGAGTTGTGCTGTGCCAATTCAGGATTTCTATCTGAACTGAGTGAAAGAACCCCAACTGATTGGCAATGGGATTGAAGGTGGGTGTGGTGGTAGCCGAAAAATAACCATGCCAAAAGATGTCCACATCCTAATCCCCAGAGCTAGTGATGATGTTATGCTATACAGCAAGAGTGAACTAAGGTTGCTAATCAGTGTACCTTCAAATAGGGCAGGTACCCTGGGTTATGCAGGAGGCCTAAGGTTATCACAAAGGTGATCAATGAAAATGGAAGGAGAGTGAGAATCCCAGTAAGATGTGATGGTAAAAGTAAAGCCAGAGGGCCATGGTGGGAGAAAGACCCAGATAGCTATTGCTGGTTGCTAGATGGAAGGGGGCCAAAAGCCAAGGAATGTGGCAGCCTCAAGAAACTCAAAAATACAAAAAAAAAAAAGGATCTTCCCTAGACTTTCCAGACAGGAACACAGCCCTGCTAATATCCTAATGAGATCATTTCAGTATTCTGATCTTCAAAATAATAAAATAATACATTTGTGCTGTTTTAAGTCTCAAGTTCATGGTAATTTATTATTGATGCATTAAGAAACATACCAAGGGGAAAGCAGTGGGAGGGGATCAGAATAAGTAACAATCTTGGTCCAAAAGGGGTAGACCATGGTAGGACCCCAAAGAAGTGAACTCTGGGTCCCTAAAGGACAACAGAAAGGGCTGAGTGCTTGAAGATAGATATGATAGACCCAGGAAGCAGGAAGGAAGAACACAGTCTATGACAGTCTTTTTATATGCCACTGTATTCCTATATACAAACCCTAGATTCTGTCCCCCAGGATAAGCAGGAGAGGGTGCATTGTAGTCAGGATTTCCAAGGGAATAGATTTAATATGAGACACATAATTTATAGGATTATCTTATAATATTTACCCAAAAAGTCAAAAGCAGAGGAGTGCAAGCAATTTTTCCATGTGCTAGAGACCCAAAGAATCCAGCTGGGGGCCTGGATCCCAAGGCAATGTCTTCACAAGACGAGCTGAAGATCTAGAGCCCATGGCAATGTCCTCCACGAGTCCAGCTGGAGGCCTAGAGCCCATGACAATGTCTCATGCAAGTCTATATCAAGGGTCTGCACTGGGAAGACCCAAAGGCCAGTGGTGGAAGCTAGAACGTCTGTGCCAGCAGGATGAAGGATCTGTGCAAGCAGGCTGAGGGACCTGCACTGGAGCCAGGAAGTGATGTTCAAGGTAAGGACCAGAGCTCCCCACAAAAGTACCACAGCCATTCTCAATGATAGCAAGGACCCGAGCTCCTCCAATGATGAGAACAGCGGAGTTCATGTCAGGAAAGCCAGTGTGACAAGGTCCTCCAGGAGATTCAACTGTGCACCATCTTCCTCTCCAGTTCTCCTTTTATGCTGTTGGAAACAATCCTCAGGTGGGCCTTCCACACCAAAACCACGTTGATTCAATTCAGCTGGATGTTACAAGTTGACCATTAGTTAATCTACCACAGAGAGGTTTTTCTTCCAGAGTTCAACAGAGAGATTCCTCAGGGACAAGTAAAAACTTGCTGAAGTAGCCAAAAAAATCAGTCACTTTATTGTTCCCATCAAGTATTCTCATTTTGCACACATGGGCCTGGCCAGCATCTTACCTGAATTAACTTGAGCAACACCCTTCCCAACTCTTGTGTGAGCTGTGAATCTGGGATATTTTTGAGGTTTGACTTCAACCTATTCCTGAAATCCTTGGACAATTACTATCCCCACTCAAATGTAAGTTTAATTTGTATAAAACCTGTTAGAGTCCTTTAACTCTCAGTTATATGATTGATTACCTTAAACCACACTAGCAGTAGGATAAGGCATCAAAAACCGGAAAAATCTGCTTACACAGTCTTTGGATCTGAAAACCAAATGGAAACATTAATTTCTTAAAGCTGAAAGCAGTTACTGAATAAAACTCCTGAGAAACCTTGAACAACCTATTGAACCCAAACAACATCCTGTCCCACAAATGCTTTCAATTCATGTTGTGAAATAAAACAGACATCGTGTTTTTACCCTCAGAACATAAATAGTATTGAGCTTCCAGTGCTATGAAATAGATATACAATTTCAGAAAGGAGGATGAATAAGTCTCCAGTTCTGCTGAAAACTGATTATAGTTTCATGTTTGTTTTTTTTCCCCTCCGGTTGAATCTATTGCCAGATAATTATTTCAAAATGAATGTCTTTTCCAATCCCCCGGAAAAGAATGTTTGGTATGTTTTGATTGGTCAGTGTGCCTTCATGCATTTCATGGGCTCTTTGCTTAATCTGGTGTTTAATGTATTCTTTTCAGGTAAAGGAGAGATTCCATGAGCAGAAGTGAGGCGGTGGCAGCTCAGTTGCTTAGCTAATGTCCACTTGTCTTACTACACCAAGGGTAGGAAGAAAGATGACCTGTCTTTTTTTTGTTTGTTATATTTCTCCACAAAGCTTTCTCTGACTCACAAGCCTTGATAGTTCTATATATTTCTCTGTTGTAACTCCCAATGCACTAACTCAGTCTTCAGTGAAGAACCTATTTGACATCTGTCTTCTCTGTCTCTGTGTAAACAACAAGAGGGTGAAAACCACTAGGGGTGGTAATCTCAGCTCCTCAGGAGGCTGAAACAGGAGAATTCCAAGTTCAACATCAGTTTGGGCAAATTAGTGATACCATGTCTCAAAAACTAATAATAAAAAACCAATAATAAAAAAGGCCTGGGGATATATCTCAGCACTAGAGTGCTTACCTGTCATGCATAAGGCTCTGGGTTCAATCTCTAGGCCAACACACAAAATTAAAAACAGGGAAGGGTAATATTAGTCTTACTCCCCGACTGTTTTACTTTCTCAATCTTGGGATAAAATACCAGACACCCATAACTTAAAGGATGAGAGGTTTATTTTGGTTCACAGTCTGTAGAGGTTTCAGTCCATAGTCAGCTGATTCCAAGGCAGGATGGCATGGCAGAGGGGAAACAGTCCTTAGCATGGCAGGTGGGAAGCAGAGAGGGATCAAGGGAGGAGAAGGGATATGTACACCTGTCTTGGTTACTTTTCTCTCATTGTTGAGAGAAAATGCCTGATGCCCAGAATTAAAGGGAAAAAAGGTTTATTTAGCTCACAGTTTGTGGAGGTTTCAGTCCAGACTCAGCTGGCTCCAAGGCAGAGTGGCACATGGCAGAGAGCAATAGTTCATGGTGGCAGAAGACAGCAAAACAGCAAGAGCAAAAACATGAGCAGTGGCAAGCAGCCTCTTTCCCTCCTTCACATTGTATGCAAACTACTCACTCCAAGGCGCATGTAGCACTCACACCCATAGTTCCAACACTGGAGCATGAATCAATCATAAATTCTAGAAGCCCACCCCATGACTGCATGAGGCTTTGGGAGGACATCCAGAACCAAACCATAACAACAGTCTTCTTGGCTACACTCACAGTGACACACCCCTTCCCACTAGGCTTACCCTCCCAACATTAAACCCAGCTATAAACTCTTTAGTAGACTAATCCACAGATGAGTATCACACACCCATGGTCCACTCACCTAGGATTGCATGAGTCTCTGGGAGACATTTTAGCTATAAGCCATATTTCCAAATGTCTATTTCTATATAAGTATATTCTGAATGAATGAATGAGTACATGAGTGAATGAATGAATGAACAGGTATTTGCTTCCTTTCCTAGGGCTGGGAATTTTAATCCCAAGACAACTGGGTGCTTTCAAAATAGCTCCTACTAGACAAATACAAAATGATGGAAAATTTCTAGATCTATTCTTCTCTAGGGAAACTTCTTTATTTGTTCTACCACACTATGAAAACCCTCTTATTGGAAATTCTTCACCATGTCTACATTCAATGTGATTTTTTTCTCTTTAAATTTTATGTTGTGCTCTTTCTTGTTAAATCATACTATTTCTATGTTTTTATTTAGACTCCTCTCTGCCTGCTCTGATTTTTGTATGCTGCAGGTAAAGAACCAGCTGCAGAATCCAGCATTAAGTACTACACTGGTGAAGATACCAGCCTCTGGATAGGGAGAGGCCAGATGTGGTGTGACTAGAGAAATAAGATCTTAATTAAGAAACTCTCAGACATTTAGCATGAAATAGCAGGAAAACTGCCAAGCTTGTTTGGGATTCAATGTCCTCTCTGATAGATTTCTTTCCACATCAAGTAACTCCTGTACTGTCAATACAGTTCCAATAAGCTATTTGTTTCTGAAAAAATGGGGCTTTCCAGGCATGGTGTTTCATGCCTGTAATCCCAGCACTCTGAGGCAGGAGGCTCACTTTGAGTTTGAGGCCAGCCTAGGCTACACCGTGAGTTCAAGGCAAGCCTGAATGAAACTCTTTCTTAAAAACAATCAAATGAAAAAAAATGGAGCTTCCAAGGAGAAGTATCAAACGTGTGAAATCCTCAAAGGAGGGAGGAGGTGGGTCTAAGCAAAATATAATCTTTGCTCAAAACTATTCCTCAGACCCAGCAAGGCACCCACAGTGGCAGCAGTGGTATCAGGGCACACGCAGCCTGACTGTCCCAGGCCGAGACCCCCAGTGATCCAGCAAGGCACTCACAGCAGAGGCATTGGCAGCAGGATGCATTCCACTGGACCACCCCAGGCAAGGGTCCTCCAGGACCCAGGCAAGGACATACACCAGCTATTGGTAACTCAGATGAACCAGCGCTGTGCTTTGGCACACAGACAGGTGGAATAGAAGTGGGCAGGCGGGGCCGCCACTCTTTCCTTTAAAAAAAAAAAGGAAAATATATATATAGAGAGAGAGAGACTGGGGAGAACCCCAGCAACAGAACACCAAACCCAGCCCCCACATCCAGAGGCCTAGATCAGCCCTATACCCACTGAAAATCCCACTGCAAAATTGCCTGGAGTACACAGCACATTTCTGAGATCAGACTTGGACCTACTAAAGAACTGTGAACACCAAAGGAATTCTACTCCATTTATTTTTCTAAGTTTGATTGGTTTCCCTTTTTCTGTTTGGTTGAGGTCTTTTTTTAAATTTAGTTTAATTTGGTCTTGTTTTATTTTTTAGGGTTATTTCCATTTTCTGTTTTTAGTCACCTTTTTCTCTTCTTTCTTTAATGACTTAAATTTATTCCTTTCCTTTATGTTTCATCTACTTGTCTTCTAGTTCTCTTTTGCCAACTATCTTGCTTGATTTTATGATATTTCCATGTGAATAAACATTGTCTCCTCTCTGCCTGATTGACTTCAATATTTTTCTGCTTCCTCTACCAGTCTTTCTCTCTTTTGTCCTTGTTTCCAAAAGCTTGGGTGATCACCCTATGCCCTCCAGCCTTACTCCTACTATATAAGAAAGACCTCACTCATCTTCTATCTTGCCCCCAATCCCTCTTAATCCCTCCCCACAACAGGGTACAATCACTCCACTAAAGAGAAAATCATTGAACACAGGTTTCCTGGTATATGCTGGATTCTGTTATACAACTGTAGAATTTTCTCCTATGGTTAAAAGTATCAGACTAATAGTTACCACAGTTTGTCAGTAGCAGGCTGTTCTCCAGACTATTGTAATTGTTAACTGTACTACTTTAGTCAAGATACCTTACCTGCTATAATCACTTTTTTTTTCCTGTATGACAACACTGTGATTGTATGGGATCATTAAATCACAATAATCCAGTACCAAGGGCCCGAGTGCTGAATCAAATAGGTAACAACTTCTCATCCTCAACATATTGGGAGGGTAGGTTCTTTGGATAGACACATAGACCAAGAACTACCTACAGCTGGAAGATACACCTGTGGAACAGCCATGTCCTACGGAAGCCTTGATAGTAGGGATAAAGCTACCTAAAATAAGAAACCTATAAGCATCAACACAGAAAACAAAACAATACATAAAACAGAAAATGAGAAGACACAGATGCAAAATGCAACCCCACACTCTCAGCCCACACAGGACAAGCCCAGAGCACAATGAGATAGGGGAAATCAGAAGCCAACCACTGGAATTTTCTGAAATGATAGCAATAGAAGTTAAAAAACAAATGGAAGAGGCTACAGAAAAAATAATCTTTAAGGTGTAAAAAGAAATGATAATCAAAATGAATGACATTAAAGCAGACACAGATTAAAGAAAAAAATACAGGAGTTCCAGAAAACAATGGAAACCTTGAAAGCTCAACATAGGAAAGAAATAGAATCCATGAAGCAATAGAAACAGAAGTCTAGGAGATTAAAAACTCCATTGAAAGTGTACACAACAGATTAAATGAAGGTGAAGATAGAATATCAGATCTAGAAGACTGGATTGTGGCTAGCAACCATGAAAAGAAAGATATCTTAAAAATAGCAGGAAAACATGAAAAATCAACTCAACAGTTACAAAATGAAGTAAACAAGAACAACATAACATTGATTGGAGTCAGTGAGAAAACATAAAACACAAACTCTTCACAGAAATAATGGAAGAAAATTTCCCAAACATCGATAAAGAATTTTACATGCAAATAAATGAATCATATAGGATTCCAAATAGCCATGACCAAAATAAATCTATACCAAAGCATATAATAATCAAGATTCCAGAAATTCAGCACAAGAACAGAATATTAAAAGTGGCTAGAAAAAGGAAACAAATCACCTGTAAAGGAAAACCCATCAGAATCATAGCAGACTTCCCAACACAAACCCTCAAATCAAGAAGAGCTTGGAGTGAGGTATTTTAAGCCCTAAAAGAAAATAATCTTCAATCCAGACTGATGGACCCTGCAGAACTATCTTTCAACATCTATGGAGAAATAAGATACTTCCATGACAAAGAACAACTGAAGAAACTTATGGCCACCAAACCAGATCTAAGGAATGTTCTGAAGGACATATTAAAAAGCCATAACAAAGACTACAAACACAGGAACACCAATAGAAAGAAGCCACCAGGTAGGGCAAACAGCTAAACAGAGGAGAAAGACAGGGAACCAACAGCAGGAAAATAAAATGAAAAAGATAAGCCAATAATATCACTTATAACCAGCAATGTAAATGGTCTCAACTCACCAATCAAAAAAAAAAAAACAGACTGGCAAAATGGATCAAGACACAAGATCCATCAATATGCTGCATTCAAGTAACACATTTAACCCAAAAAGAAATTCATAGACTAAAATTCAAAGGATTGTAAACAATTGTACATGCCACAGGAACCGGAAAATAGCAGGGTAGCTATTCGCAGACAATGCAAACTTTAAGCCAAAACTGATAAAGAGACAAAGAAGGTTACTATATAATTTTTAAGAAAGAAGAAATAACAATCATAAATGACATGATGCTCTGTATAGAAGACCCCCAAAACTCCATCAAAAATCTTGTAGATTTAATAACCAAATTCAGTAGTGTAGCGGGATATAGAGTCAACACTCAAAAATCAACAGCATTCCTGTACACAAGCAACAAACTCACAAACAGAAAAATTAGGGAAAGCATACCCTTCACAGTAGCATCCAAAAAATGAAATACTTAGGAAGCAATCTAACAAAGGATGCAAAAGAACTGTACAATGAAAAGTACCCTAAAATGGGAGATCAAAGAGGATATCAGAAAATGTAAAGATATACCTTGCTCATGGACAGGAAGAACCAACGTAGTGAAAATCACCATATTTCCCAAACTTCTATACAGATTTAATATAATTGCAATCAAAATACCATTAGCATGCCTCATATATGTAGAGAAAACATTTCTAGAATTCATTTGGAAGCTGGAAGACCTAGAAGAACAAAAGCAATTCTGAGCAACAAAGGTAAGTCAGAGGGCATCACAATCCCAGACTTGAAATTATACAACAAAGCTGCTATGATAAAATCAGCATGGTATTGGAAAAAAAGCAACAGACCTGAGGGTCAGTGGAACAGAATAGAGGATGCAGACATAATCCCAAACACACTCAGCCACCTTTTCTTTTACAAAGGAGCCAAACATGTTCACTGAAAGAAAGATAGCCTCTTTAATAAACAGTGTTGGAAAAACTGGCTCTCCACATTCTGAACACTAAAACTAGACCCAGGTCTATCACCATGCACTAAAGTAAAAATGGATCAAAGATTTAAATATTAGAACAGAAACACTTAATTTACTGGAGGAGAAAATAGGCATAAATTTTAAAGATTAAGTGTATGCAGAAACTTCATGAACAAAACCCATACTGCAAGGGAAATATTACAAAGAATCAACACCTGGGATCTCACCTTATTAAAAAGCTCTTATACAACAAAAGAAATCACCAAGAGTGAAAAGACAATCCACAGAGTGCGAATAAATTATAGCCAGTTGTCCCACAGACAAAGAACTCCTGTCTACAACATATAAAGAATTGAAAAACTCAAATCCCTAAATTCAAAAACCAATTCAAAAGTGGGCATCTGCAGTGAATATACACTTCTCAGATGAAGAAATATAAATGGCAAATAAATATATGAAAAAATGTTCTGCATCTTTGGTTATTTGAGAGATACAAAATAAAACAACACTGAGATTCCATCTCACCCCAGAGAGAATAGCTATCATCAAGAAATCAACCAATAACAAATGCTGGCAGGGCTGTGGAGAAAAAGGAACATTTCTCTACTGTTCATGGGAGTGTAGACTGGTGCAATCACTGTAGAAATCAGTGTGGAGATTCTTTTAAAAACTAGGATTGGAGGTCCCATTCGAGCCAGCTATTCCCCATCTGGGTATCTTCCCAGAAGAATTAAAAACATACCACAGTGATATCTGTGCACTCATGTTTTTAGCAGCACAATTTGTAATAGCTAAATCTTGGAAACAACCCAAATGCCCATCAACTCAGGAATGGATAAAAAAGATGTGCTATTTTTATACAATGGAGTATTACTCAGCTATAAAGAATGATCAACTAGAGGCTTTTATAGGTAAATGGATGCAACTAGAGACCATACTCATAAGTGAAATAAATCAAGCTCACATGTGTAAACATCATATTGCCTCCCTAGTATAAGAACCTGAAAGAGTAAATAAAATCTGAGAGGTGCAATAGATATTGTGAAAGGGAAAGAAACTGCTCAAATAGGAAAGAACAACCAGGATGAGGGAAAAGAGAAAAAAAAGAAGGAAGAGAAAAAATATGTATATGTATATACACAAGATAGCTAAGAGAATTGCACTACTAATTGCTATTGGTTTATTGAAAGGAACAGTTAATGTGTAATTGTTTGATCAGTCTCACATGCCTATATCTGGTTATCTGAGTAATTACTTTGAAGATAACAATATGTAATATAACAAAGGTTGTTAATTTCCTATCACCTTGTTTTGAAATTGTGTCATTTTTATTGTTTTTATGTTGTTTTATTAATGTCTTTGTATTTGTTATTTTGTTCTTGATATTTTCTCTTTAAAATTAAAAAAAGAAAATATATATACGTATATACAAGGATAGCTGAGAAAAGTGTACTGTTGATGTCTGTCTATTGGTTTATTGAAAGGAACAGTTAATTCTTAATTTTTTTTTTCTCTTGACCAAATTTGTATTCTTATATCTGGTAACTGTAACAACTAATTTGAAGACAACACTATGCAATATAACAACCATAGGTGAATTCCTACCATCTTGCTTAATGAAACTGTTTATCATTTCTAATTTTTTTATTACTTGTTATTATCTTTAATTGTTTGAACAATCTTGCATTCTTATATCTGGTAATCTGAGCAACTTTGTTGAAGATAACAATATGTAATATGGAAACTGTTTTTAACTCCTATGATCTTGTTTTGAAATCCTGTATTGCTTTTATTGTGTTCATATTGTTTTGGTTTTGTCCTCATTGTCGTTATTTCATTATTGGTTTTTTTCTCTTTAAACTAAGAAAAAGTTATACAGCTAGTTTTTCTTAGTTCATTGAAAAGAAAGGTTTGTGCTAATATTGTTTGGACAATATTTCTTGCCTACATCTTGTAACTTGAATAACTACTGTGAAGATAACAATACAAAATATATTAATTATTATTACTGCCCTACTAGCCTGTTTTGAAACTCTGTTCTATTTTTTGTCTATCTTTAAAATTTATAAAAACTCTTCCTCATCATGTGCTATATTTCAGCTCTTTCACCTGTCCCTTTCTGTACTCTTCTGGGTTTGTTTTTTAAAGCAGCGTCTTGCTATTTAGTTCAAGTGCCTCAAACGTGCGATCCTGCCAACTGCACCTCCTCAGTGCTGGGATTACAGGTGTGCATCACCATGCCTAGCCTAAGAAAAAAATTTAAAGGGGCAAAAAGCAGGAGGAAAAACAAGAATCCTCAGTATAATACAGGGCTGAAGAAGAAATTTGGCAACTGAGAATCTTTGCACAGAACAGAAAAGTAGGGAAAGAAAAGGAAGATGAAAAAATAATTCTTTTTGGAAAGAAATAAGTCTTCATCTAAATATTGTTCTCTCTGCGCATCCCTGATAGATAAATGAACTACTTTCTGAGCAGTCTGAGCTCCCAAAGCTGTGCTTCTCTGACTCTTGTACATCACACGGAGCTTATCAAACATTTAAGTGCACTGCTTCTCCCTGACCCTCTTCTTTTATCCATATACGCAGAAAAAACTAGATTGCAGGTAAGTAGAATCTAAATTTTCTTAGCTAATTTAACTATTGTCTTCCAAAAGGACTCTTAGGAGATAAAAAATAAATGAAAACAATTATACAAAAAATAAAATAATTTTGTTTTGTTTTGTTTTGTTTTGTTTTTGGTTTTTCTCCGGTACCGGGAACCGAACTCAAGACCTTGCGCTTGCCAGGCAGGCGCTTTGCCGCTGAGCTAAATCCCCAGCCCCATAAAATAATTTTTAAAGGGCTGAGGAGTGCTTGCCTAGCAGGCACAAGACTCTGGATTCAATCCCCAGCACTGAAAAAAAGTTCTATTAGAACACACATACATAATATATATATTACAATCTTCAGTACTGTCAACTTCTACAACTCGAGTCAACAAACAAACAAGAACACTCAAATGGAGTTCAGAATGAAGATCTCGCTTTGTGCGTACTAAGAAAAATAACCTAAAGACTGACTTTGTCATGACAACCCCTTCTATCCTAGGGCTTTTCAGGTCAGGGCAGTTTATATGCACCTGTTTGGCCACCTTAATCATCAGAGATCAGTTATTTGTGGATACATGTGTAAAAGGAAACCTCTCCTTGACACACCAATCATTTTCACTCTGTTGTTTTTCTTTAAAAGGCCTAACTTTATGAGCAGTGGCTTAAAGAAGCACACTGAAGTTTTTCCACACCCTGAGGAGACCTTAAAACAATAAGAGGCAAAACAAGTACCCTTTTTTCTTTCCCACTGGAAACTTTGCCCCCAAAATGTTCCACTCCTACCCTTTGGGAGAAGGAGGCCTTTGGGACTCCTTCTCAGGTATGTTTATATTTCTGTTCTAGGATAAAGAGGCGGGCCCTCACACCCACACTGTTTTTATTTTATTTTTTAACTTCCTTCAGTTTCTATCTAGAGGGAAGTCCTGAATTCCAACTTCCATCAATTGGCTTTCATCCCAGGCCACACAATTAGCAAAGCCATAAGACTCAAGACCTCCCCAAAACAGAGATGCCTGGGAATGTAAAACAGGTACCACTGATTACTTTGGCAGTAGAGACCTTTTGTTTTCATTTGTCACTGTTACTTAAATAATTCTTTGGACATGACTCTCAAGTCTCTCCCTTAGTCTTTTTTTCACTGACAGAGTTACCCCATTCTTTCCTCCTTTTCTCCAGCTTGGCTTCTGCCATCTCCATGGTGTTGTTCATGTCCCCACCCCCTAGGGCTTGCTGCTGTGTGAGCTGCACTCGGGGAGTGGAGCAGAAGAGGCTGAGTCATCAGTCATCATCTCTCGTCTCCCTGAGTTTGATCAAAATGTCATAGGCTGCTTTCCGTACAGTGTCGCTGTGCAACCACAGCAGAAGGGAGGTGGGGGACTTCTCCCGCTCAACTCTGAGCACTTTGAGAAGGGTCACATTTTCATCATGTTGGTGAGATGTTCACAGAACTCTTAAGGCAGTTTCTATTCTCTTTTGTCCTTCAGGTCATGACTTAAAAGTGACCCTTCCTGGGCAAACCACCTTGAGAAGGTACTGAAGCTCAATGTAGGCATACTCTGTGACCCAGCTTTTCTGTTTCTCAATACATATGACTATCATAGTCTCGTAGTAATACTGCTATAAACAAACCTACTGAACTGTCAGTCCTGTAAAAATACAGCACATATAATATGTACAGTACATAATACTTGATAATGATCATAAAGGTGCTACTGGTTTATGTATTTATGATACTTTTGTCATTATTTTAGTATACTCTATCAACATATTTTTCAAAAATTACCTTTAAGAAGAGTGCTATGCTCCCCGAGGAGCAGCCTCAAGCATTTCAGATCCACGAAGTCCCTTGTTTCCATCAAGAGGCTGTACAGAAATCCGCTCATCGGTTCACCAAATGACAGACACTAGAACGTTTACAGCACTACAGCACTACAGCAGCAGTCTTTAGGATAAGAAAACACCAAAGCTACCTGAGTATCCATGGATAAATACATGATGGTATATTCACATGACAGAACACTTTATAGCAATGAGAGTGGGAAAACTATAGCTACACATGATATGGATGAATGCCCTAGACATTATATTGAGCAAAAGAAAGCAGATACAGAAAAAAATACAGTTGGGTTTCATTTATAAAGTTAAAAATGAGGCAAAATTAATCGATGTTAGATGGCAAGATAGAAGTGACTATTGGGGGTCCAAGCATGGTGGCACACACCTGTAATATCAGCACTTGAGATGCTGAGGCAGGAGGATCTCCATGAGTTACAAGCCAGCCTGGGTTACATAGTGAGACCCTGTTTAAAAAAAAAAAAAAAAAAAAAAAGAAGTGACCATTGGGGTTCATGACCAGAAGGAGCAGGAAGGGGTCTTTTCCACTCTTGGCTACATGCTACCGACTTCCAGAAATGAAACTAGCTGTAGTAAGCAGCAATGCATTACCAGTCTTTGGCTTGTTCTGCCACAGTGGCTAGAGTAGAACTCAATATGACAAATCAGATTTAGCATCAGCTGCTTATAGTGTTATTAAAAATGATTCTGGGGTCCATCAAGGCTTAGTAGGAAAATAAACATCATAAAAACTTAGTGATATCCATCATGAGACCTTGGAAGGGGACTAATGGCCTGGGTATCATGGATGTTGTCATCCTTGGGTTTGTTGCTCTGTCACTGCATGCTGTAGATTGAATCCCATCAGACTGAGTGTGACTTAACAGACAGCTTCTGAGGCTTTTTCAGCCAGGGAGTCCATCAGTAGAATGAGTCCCATTGATTAACAGTCTTGTGGAACTAAACAGTAGACTTCTTTAGTTTCTCTTTCTTCACAAACATTCGGGAGATAAAAACCCCAAGATAAATGTGTAAACTGACACTGTGGGGACAACTTTCTTTACAGTGATGACAACATGTAGAATAAATGGAAGATGAGAATTATTGCAACTGACATTTCCTGAAAATTTACCATGTGCCATGTAGTATGTTAAGTAGCTAAGACATATTACTTTGTCCTAACAAATGGATAAGAGAGGAATTCATGTCCACAGATAAGAACACTAAGTCACAGGGGGCTTAGAAACATGTCCTAAATCACACTGCCCATCAGTAATTGACCTGGGATTGAATTCTCATCTTTTGCCACAGCTCAGAGATGCTCTAGGAACTCAGTACAACATGCGTTCCCTCAGCTCTCGCACAGGGCAAGGTGGACTGGTAAGCAGCAGGGAAAGAGCCTTTCCAAGATTTGCTGTCCAGACTCTGGAATACAGCAATTTGAGGAAGAGATAAAGAAATGTGTGAGGCATCTGCTTTCCTGTTTCTTCTTTGTTGGCTCCAATCCCACAGGGAACCAAGACCCACAGCTCACCACACCCACCCACTCCCTCACACGCACACTCACATACACTCTGACTGAGGCCCAGAGAATTCATGGCTCCTAAAAGGTCACCTGACAGGACCTAGGGAGGTCCCCAAAGTGGAAGCAGAGGAACTGTCTTGACTCACACTGCCAATGGGATGGGCTGCAAGTTCTCTGCCTTTCATCTCAGGATGTGTTAGGAAGAGAAATAAAGGCATTTGCAAGGTAAAACGTAGAAGTACACACTCAAAGAAATATGGTGCTAGCCCTCCAGAGACAGGCATGTTAGGGTCTGGAACTGGGGTATTTATATGCTTTTGGCAGTGAAATCTGTGTAATTTGTGATTCTATAGAAAGTTTGGGCTTGGTTTTTAAGAGAAGAGTGATTGGCCACCCACAAGTAGAAAGAAAATGGCTCATTTTACAGGAGAAAGGCAGGGTATGATCTATTGTTTTTGACTGTTTGTTTCTTTCCTTAAAATGTTTCCCCTAGCACCAGGAACAGTGGTGCATGCGTATAATCAATCCCAGCACTAGGCAGGTTGAGGTAGGAGGATCACTGTGAGTTTGAGGACAGCCCGGGCTATATAGTGAATTCGACAGCCTAAACTACATAGAAAGACCTGGGCTCGAAAAAAAAGTATTCCCTAAGATGTTTGCCTGAAAATCTTGTTTGAAACCTTTGAATCTATTTCTCTTAAGGTCAGGTTTCTGTTCTTTACCTTATCAACTAAACTAACTTATAGACTTGTATCTTTACAGGATTTTGGGTGTGGTGGTTCTGAAAGAAAAGAAGCATAAATAAGCCTAAAGAGCACAGGTATGGATAACCCTGGATAAATTTTCCTTTTGTTTTGTTTTTTGAGAGATGGTCAGGCTGGTCTCCATTTTGGCTAATTAGAGTTCTATATACCTCACTCAATTATGTCAAATTCTTTTTGCTAGCTTAGGAAGTTTTCTGCCTTTACTTCTGTGAACAGATTTTTTTTTGTTGTCATTTGCATTATCTCCTGCTTTTTCACTGACTGCAATCAATCTTATGCTATTCTTTTTTGCATCATCTAGCAGCTACTAGATTGATTTCTGATGGTCCCTTGCTATTTTTAAGAAATCCTTCTTTTCATGATCACTAACAGCACACCTGTCATCTATATCTGAGATTCTGTCCTCACATTGGCTCATTCTACTGTGTATACTTTCAGTGGAACTTTCAATCTCCTGGATATCTATTTAAATCTGTTTCATGTGTACTATTTCTTTCCTTTGTTGGGCATTCATGGTTTCCATCATTTTCTTAAGCTCCTCTATTTTTTATCTGTATCTGCTCTAGAGTCATTAAGCATGTCTTTCATTATGGTCATGATCTCTGTAGTTATCTGAGAAATCATTTCTGATCTGATTTTTTCTAGAGCTTTGTTCATCATGTTACTTCTACTGTTAACATTTCAGAGAGTCCAGGTCGGTGGCTTTTGAATTGTTTCACTTCATTGCCCCCTGGATTTTCCTTTGGTGAGTTGGAATTCTTCTAGGGTTGTATCTTTTTTTTTGTCTTCTCATTTTCTATTTTTTTGGTTTAATTCCTAGGTTGATGCTTATAAATTGCTTATGGTGAGTAGCTTTATTGCTAGTATTTAGAACTCTTAGGAAATGACTACTTCTCAGAGATATCTTCTAGGTGTAGCTGGCTTTTAGGTATTGCAAAACCCTACCACTTCTATTTATTGGAGATGAGAAGTTGCTGTCTACTTGGCCTAGCCCCTGGTTCTTTGGCACTGGCCTATAGTATTGTTTATGATGCTTTGGCAATCTCAGTCTTGTTATAGCAGGTAGAACAGTGGATTAGAGCAATTATGTCACCTGGGCTAAAGTAGTACAATAAGTGATAACAATGGCATCAAACACAGCCTAGAAAATGACAAACTCTGTATGAACTAGATTTGTGGTTATATAACAAAATCTAAAAACAAACCACGAAAATGTATATAGTAAACAAGCCCTCAATATGGTGATTTTACCCTCAGGGAGATGATTTTAAAAGGATTAGAAGGAAAGGTACAGAAATAGAAGAAGGAGGAGAAGGAGGAGGAGGAGGAGGAGGAGGAGAGATTAGAAGCAAGGATAGAGGACAAAGGAAGATTATGCAAACTTTGGGAAACTGGTAAAGAAGATAGGAGGAAAAGAGAGAAGGAAGAAATAAAAACAAGAACAACAGAATAACAACAACAACAAAAGCTAGAAAACTTGTCCACCCTCATATACAAACAAGAACAAACAATCAAGAAAAAAACAAAACAAAAATAAGAAGAAAGAGAAAGGAAGAAAAGATTTTTAAGAATTCTACCTCAGGTCATGTTTCTGATGTTACTATAGATAGTGTGGACAGAGTCCAGATCCTAGATGATTAATCCCAGCAAGCCAGCTTTAGCTTTATAGCAGGGAAGTGGATAATTCCAGTAAGCCTGCATCTATAGTTCCAGTGAGGGTCAGGCTGTGAGGCTGGAACCTGATTTTTTCAGCCTGTAACACTCCATGTGCCTCCTGCTGGCTTGAATTTCGCAGCCCCACTCTGAGACTGGGAACCACTAGATGGAGCACACAGCTGCTCTGAGTTCTGAGCTCAGCGGGCCCCTTTCCTAGATGGCTCCCAGTCAATTGCTCTCTTCTGGGGGATGTCTGAATCTGAATAACTTACTAGCCACAGCAGTCCACTCCGTCCATTGCATCCACTGCTCCATTCCACTGCATTTCTCTGTGGAGGCCTCTGAGGTTGCCAGTAGTTACGGTGGGTCTGCAGATTCAGGCTGCTCCTCCCATTACTGAGTCTGGCCTGAGGGAGAAAGTGCTGCCTGCCACTTCCTTCTTCACTGAAGTCTCTCTCTTTACTCTCCTCATGGGCTTCAGTTCTCCCTTCAGATCCTTCCTAGGTCCTGGGAACTCACTGCCTTTCTTTATCTCTTCTTCAAATTGCTATATTCCAGCATCTGGACACCAAATCTTGGAAAGGCTCTTTCCCTGCTGCTCATCACTCCACTGTCTTCCCAGAAGTCTCCAGGTTGGCTTTAATTCATGAAAATCCTCCTGCCTCAGGATGTCAAGTGCTGAGAGTATAAGTGTGTGCCACTGTGCCCGGCAACACTGGGTAACTTTGGATCTTTGGCTGCAGTCTTCTTAAAAGTACAATATCTAAATTATGATTTTGTTTCTTGTCTCCTTTTTACCTTCCAATGTCTCCAATCCTACTTCAGTACTTTCCTGCGTACACAGGGCTTTGTGCTTACACAGTTGCTCTCAAGCATTTCTTTGAGTTCTTTCCAATACCCCTAACCCACTGTCAATCAGAGAAGCTATGCTTTTCATAGGGGACTTCTGCTAGTGAAGCAGATTAGAGAATGGCAAACTGGCTGGAAATGGACATCACCTGCCAAGTACAGAGTTCCAGGACACAGGTGCAGAACACTTCCCAAAGCTCTGCACCTGGAATCAATCAGAGAGTGCTATCTTCAGTTCTGATAAGAACTTGTGCAGATTTTTCACTGGTATGTTTTAGATTTACATAGTGATAACATTCATCACAGGAAATTTGTACCTGTACATGGTATTTCTTCCTTCTTCTTTTTTTTCCCATTTCCCTAGAAGGAGCTGGATCTGACATTAGCTTGAGGAGTGGGAGCTATAAAAGACAGCTGTCATAAAGGTTTAACACTGTCAGTGGCCCTCCCTGTGCTTTGCAGAGTGTATTTCTTTTCTTAACTTTAATTGGCCAGCATTTGCTCTGAGGAGCATGTTAATTTTCTTTTCCTAACCTTAATAAATGTAAAATTTGCTATCTTTTGTCCTTGTTTTGTTCAGTTCTTTATTCAGAACAAGAAGAACCTAGAAAAAATATCTACAAGGAGTTCCCAGCACCCAAGAACCCAGTAACATTAGGTTGGACCATAAGAA